TGCTGATTTTATATGAGACGTGTACGACTTCAGATTCTGTTGCATTGCTGTCCAATACCAAAAAGGTTCTGTAACCCCTGACACCCCTTTCAACCCCTTCCTAAACATACTTATCTCTATCACGTTTTTGCAATGGCGTGAAAATTGTTTCATTTCTAGAAAACATATCATTTACCAAGTTTTGATGATTGCATGATGAATGGTTTGCAACCTCACATCTTTCCAAATTACTGTGCCTTTAGTTACGAAAACGTATACCGCCAGATGGCAGTGCGATTTCGCCATTCTAACTTGACCAGGCCGGGGCATTCCAGGGCCGAACTTTATTCGCCTGTTCGTTCTTCCAAATTACATTTTAGATTGAAACATGTTCGTTTTCGTGTTGATCTCAAAGTTTGCACGAAAATTGCAGATTATTTGAAAATTATGAATCTTTTATCAAAATTGATAAATTCAAGATGCGGACGAGATTTGTGATTAGGGCCCGATTTGACTTGCTATAAGGAAGTTTTCGGGGTCAGAGATTATGAATCTTTTGTCAAACTTAACGAATTCAAGATGACGGTTCCAAGNAGCAAAACTTTATTAGTTGACTTTGATAAAATTTGATATTTCCCATTTCGAAAGGCATAATGCAAGGAAATCAAATTCGTATAAATAACACATTCTTATTAAATTAATAACAAAATAAAGGAAACATTAAAAAGAAAAATGAGAAAGTCGTTTAACTGAGAAAATGATAGGCTTCAATACCGAAATGGAATAACACCAAAATATTCGTTAGTTTTGATGGTGGAATTGAAGAAAAATGCCCAAAAATGAGAGAGAGAATACTTTTTATTCATCTAATATTCGAAAAATATTTTTTTAATTATTTTTCCTTTATACACTCATACAATCTTTCCTCAATCAGAATAAGAAAAATCGTTTCTAACTCCTTTTTTTTTCAGGGATGAAGACCCTTAATATCTCATACACCTGAGGAATATGTTTACGAATGTTAAGCAGGTATAGGAATAATCAGATCTTACGTCTAGTACACTCTGGGTTGAGTACAAGAAGTTAATAAAATGCTTATCAATTTTTTCAAATCTCTTTAGATCTGCTGAAAAGTGCATATTATTTTTTTTAATACGGTGAAATTAATATATTGAATTCAAAAATTAAATTACGAGATAAACGGTATATTCAGAAAAAAAAAGTTTGCTACCAATAATTGTCAATTTGATGATGTGTATCACATGGAACGTTCAAGTATAGAATATTAAAAAATTGTGCCCAAAAGTGTACAATTTCAGTCGTGTTAACTATTTTTGGAAACATTTTACTTTCCAACAAGACAGAAATGTTTTTCATCAATCCCTAAAATCGTGTGAGTGACTGGCAGGGAATCAAAACAACATCACTATCATAAAAAATACATTACTTAGATTATGTATATGTAATCAAATTTTTGGGTAGTTGTACAAAGTTTCTAAACTCATATATCAATAGCATTTGCAATTGAAGCAATGTAAATAAACAAAGTAAACCATATAAATTCCATTTATTTCAAGACATACTATGATCAAATCCACAAGTATCATCTGAATTAAAACAGCCATCAGGATGATTCTTATAAAACCAACATATCTTTTTTTTATACTTCAGTCCGTCAGTTTCTAATGTTGCAGGCATCCTCAATTGCACATTTCCTTTTTCAACAACAAATATATATCTATGATTCCTGAACAGTGTTTGGAGTCCACCACACTGGTTTTTTAATTTCTGCAAGTCATCAGCAGATATTTTTTTCGATAGACATGATATTGACAGTGCTGATCCTTTGTTCCAATCATCTCCATTTTGTTTTAATAGGTAAGTTCCTTCAACTAATAAAATATTTACACAAGTTTTCACAAATTCTGCTATGAACTGTCTATCCAACTGAGTGCAATTTCGCACGGGCTCAACACTACTTCTAAGTTTGAAGACTGTAGACATTCGAGAATCGATAAACTTATCGACTTCACAGTGTATTTTACTTAAAGTTTCAAAGTTCAAGTCTTTAGCTAATCCGATCAGACAATTTTTTCTAGTTGAAGGAATTCTCAGATTATCCAAACGCGTTTCAAAAGAACATTTTTGACAGATTTGCTCAATGTATAGAAGATATTCGGAGTAAGTACTGAGGGAAGTGTTGGTTCGGGTATATTTTTGACCACTGAAATCAAATGGGCAGCATGGCAGAAGAAAAAAGTTGGTTATTGGAGAACTTCTAAGAGCTATCACAGGTATCCAGGGAGTGAGTTCATCTGAGTGATTTCCTATAAGCCAGGTACAGTCAGGAAATAATGAAGAGGGTAATACTGTACCAACCTAAAAAATAATGAAATGTGTACAAGTTGCTTATTATTGATTATAAATAAGAATCAAATATAATGCAATTAGGCGAAAATGGAGGTTTACAATTGTGTTGACTACGGATTGTAACTGGGTTGGATGATATTCTGAGGTGTGAAGTATCTGTTGTTATGTATGGGATTCCGGTGAAGAATCTTGCCCAGACTTCCGGTTAGTTTTCCTGTTATCAACAGGTCTAGGAACGCAAGCTGCCTGTTCTCTATTTTAGTAGTGAATTGAATGAGAGAGTGGGTGTTATTTAGGTGGGTCACAAACGGGTCTAGTCTTTGTTGTCCAAGAGGTCAGGTGATGAAAATATAGTTTACATATCTTCTCCTCAGCATCGGTTTGACAGAAGCTTTGTTTGCCTCTTTCTCGTAATTTATCAAACAATTTGTCAAAAAAAAATCTGATGACACAGAGGAACCCTTTGAAACTCCCTCAACCTTTTTGTAGATTTGTTTGTTGGAAGTAAGTGCTCTGCTAGATCTGTGACATGTTGCAGAAACCTATAATGCTTCTCATTAATAGCCATTGCTTCATCAGTGGGTATTCTAGAGTAGGGAGCTTTTATATCTGGACTAGCAAAAATGTTAGTTTCATTCGTTTCTGTTTTTACTTATGTCCACTAGGTGTTCGGAGTTTCCTAAATACAACTCTGTTGGCCCCATTTCTGATTGAATGATTTTAGACTAGTATTTCTCTTGATTTCTTTTTTTATGGATGAAATAGGTGTACCTGAGACACTTATTATCATAATATCTCTCAAGTCAACAAAAATGGAACTAAACTAGTATTTTAACCAGAATTTGGGCATACCATACTGTATGCCCTGGAATATATTTAGTATTCAGTCTCCCACCCTAGAGAAATGTTTGGTGAAGTTGCTTGCGGACTTTGTCTGCAGGTGGCTCGATGGCCACTCTACCTTACCGAACCAACCGGACGCGAATTTGATGACTAGTTGGAAGGAATTTTGTTTGTCTAAGATGGTTCATTCCATCTGAACTAGTCCCCGCGGCACTGACAAGAGGTTATTACTCTGAAACCAGTCTGTCGGTGATCATACTGATCAAATGCTATTATATTAATTTCAGCTTTTTATGTATAGAAAGTTACTTGCAATGGAAGACAGTGCACAGGTGGCCGTCAGTTTTACTTCAACTCTCTGTGCGGCATAACCTGGGTTAAGTTGTTATTTTTCCGTTGGGGTTTGCTACACATACTTACCAAATTGTAGGTTTTGGGCATATTGTATGCAACTCTCAGAAATATATTTACTATTCAGACTCCCAGCTCACAGGTATGTATTTTTGGAGTTGGCAGTTGTCTGCAGTTGGTGCGGTGGCCAGCCTTCAGAATGAACTGAAGGTGAAGCTTATGACTGACTGTAAGGAATTTTATTTGGTCTGAATTGACCCACCCAGCATTGACAAGAAGATAATACTCCAAAATCCGTCTGTCTATGGTCACTGTGTCCAAATGAAGTTTGGAACAAATGTATATTTTGATAAAGAAATGAGAATTAAAACTTTCTATGTTTTTTATCACTTTTATTTGTAACTAACGTTACTGCAGTTTCATCTTATATGGACATTTTCAAATTTATACATTAAACTAAAAATGATTGATTACATTAGCCCTTATATAACACCACTGTAGGTAATAATAGAGGTACTTAACTTAATTGAGTACCTGAATTTTGTTTACTTGTGACAATGTGAATATGACAATTTGAAAAACGGTGAGTAAACTAGATATATTTTATAATTTAACAGGTTGCACCTGCAATGTTTATGCTTGTGAATTTCCAATAATTGAGTTTGCAACCCTTCCTTGCGTAGTGAAAAATTTCCGTATCGTTTAGATTCCGGATATTGTGGTTGCATGCCAAGGAATGGTTTGAAAACGTCGAACCATTTTTACGTAGTCTGAAGGACTTTTCATGTTCAGCATACCATTTTGTGAAATTTCGACCAGATTGTCCCACATAAACACTATTACACTTTGGACACTTAAGCTTATAAACTCCAGATTTCTTCAACTTGTCCACTTTATCTTTGGCATTGAAAGGAAAAGGAATAAAAAGTTGAATAAACCAAGAGTCACCACTAGTAAAATATTAATAGTTCAATAAAGATAAAATACTTTACAGGCAATTTTTTAAATTACTTAAAACATAACTCACTTGTAGTTTCGTGTCAGGTGGATATATATCCCAAAGTGCTCTCCTTCTTATATCAATACCGTATCCTTCGTAGCCCTCTTGGTTCAGAACATGGACCAAAAGACCATTTCCACAGCCTAAATCAATAAACTTCACTGATTTTTCAGGATACAGTTTCCATAAACATATAAGATAACTAGCTATAGCTAAATCTTCGAAAATATACTTTTGGGGGTTAGTTTTTGTCTTCGTCAGCCAATCCTTAAAACATAATATCGTTTGATACACTTTTCAACGCTAATAATAGAGTATACAAAACAGTGACAGATTTAATGTAAAGTATTCAAAAATGTTGTCAAGTCTATCATATATTTTTCAATGTATACTTTCATAGTTGATTTTCGATTATGTTTCCGAGTTAAATTAGCAAATCGAACGATGTTCTAGTGCATTAAAATTCTGACATAATGTATAGAATTCCATGGATGATTATATTATACTACTAGAAACGTCAAAAATAACATTGAAATTTAATTTCTTGTTTTCCCAGTACTTCATTAAAAATATTCCGTTGATTGGGACGGAATGAAAAGTAGCAAATGGAAGAAGAACCAATGAGTATAAAAAATTACAGGAATGGACATTCTGGTATTGGAATCGAAGCAAAGAAACGCAGCTAGTAAGTCAATTCAGAGCAACCGAGACAAATGATACTGTACAATGCTAGCAGAGCTTATTATTAAATTTTAAAAGTAAATATAGTAAGTAAAAGTAGAGAGAAACTGTTGGGTTTGGTTGCAATTGGAGGAACTTCCCTATGTGGCAAAAAATGTCTTTCAACTTGACTTACAATTCAATGAAGAAAAAAAGTTTATTATCCAATGAACAATACAATCTTGTTGGCAAAGTTGGTTTGAAATTACAATAGCCAAGTTTGTCAGTTTAGAAGAAAGTCTGGAAAAGAAAGTTTTTGGCTTTCTACTACTCCATCTCGATACAAAAAAATGTGGGAACCTTCCAAAGAAAGGAAGGAAGTAATCAATTTTAAAATAAGTAACTTTATACATGGATGTGTAGATCATGCAAAGAAGTAACTTTTAGACACCAACTAGAAGAAAAAGCCCTTCTGAAACAGCTACTTTCATATAAACATTAAAGTACTTTAACATAGTGTACTTTATTTATATTTTCGAGGCAGGACCGGCTTTAAAAACTCACCATGAATTGTTGCAAATGCAAATTGGTTATTGGTGACGAGGATTATTTGGAATGTGACTTGTGCAAGAGAGTAATACATAGTCAGTTTGCCTGCTCCGAACTAACAGCATCAGAAATGAAATGTATGTCACTCAAAAAGCGTACACTTCGGTTTTTATGCAAGGACTGCTGTAGCGGATTACTTCAAATTCCATCTATTGTTCAATCAATTGAAGCACTGAAATCTGAAATTGAAACGTTGAAGCATCACAAGTCCGAACCCCCAAGTCTACCCTCGCATGAGACAGCTATCAACTTCAACGACATAATTGCAGAAATGACGCAACGTGAAATTCGGAAAAAGAATGTAATGATTTTTGGTTTGCCTGAATCTGATAATTCAGTTGATAGAACTACAGCCTCAGAAATATTAAACGCTGCTGATCGTGATATAGACCAAAAAGGAAATTTTAATATGAAAGTATTTAGGGTAGGACACCTGAACGTAAACGCAAATACACCAAGGCCTCTTTAATTAATTTTGCAATCGCCTGAAGATGCAATGTCAATTATTCGTAAAGCCAAAGTCGTTAAGGGAAAAGCCGAGTTCAGTAACCTTATTATCACATCGGACAAAACCCCGCTTCAAGTCAAGCAATACAAATCTGTGAAACAAAAGTTACCTAACCGATCGGCTAAGGACGAGCTAAACATAAGCATCAAATACGTGAATGGGAAACCAAAAATAACAAAAAACCGTTAACTGTGTCTAACCAGGAGCAACACTAACTTCTTCATAGCTATTATCAGAATACCCGAGGCTTAAATACCAAAACCCAAATATTTTATGAAGCTGCATCAGCTGCTGAGTATCATCTCATGGGAATCTCTGAAACCTGGATACAATCCAACTTAAATAACTCCGAACTATTTGGTGAGCAATATCAAGTTTTTAGATCAGATAGAAACCTCAATGCGAACTCGATGTCAAGAAGCGGTGTTTTACTGGCGGTTAGAAACGTCTGTGGTGTTACGGAAATAGACATATCGGATCACAGAAAACAGTTCATTATTGATATTGTCGGTTGTAAAATATCATATTATCATTATATTCTATTGGTATTTGTTATATACATACCACCAACTGCTAATAATGTACACGTGCAAAATTTATTTGAAACACTAGAATCACTTGAATTACTATATGATCAAAATCTACTAATACTTGGTGATTTCAACCAACCATTTTTTATAAGGTATCAGCGGAAAAAATCTTAACTTGCAAAATCTTCAACAATTTATCAGTTTTTATGACCTGAAACAACACAACAATGTACTCAATAAATCATATCGACTCCTAGGTCTCGTACTTTCTAACAATTATAGCTGTAATGTCATTCGTGATGACCTACCATTCATCCCTGAAGATGACTATCATCCGGCTTTGAATATTTCTCTAGTATTTAAGAAAAAGGAAAGTGGAATTCCGTATGATGACAAAGCGCTTTTTTTAAATTTTCGTAAAGCGAATTTTCCTCTACTCTATTCTTTGTTTATGAATACAGATTGGTCTAGTATTGAAAACTGTACCGAAGTAAACTTGGCAATAGACACATTCTATGCAATAATTTATTCAATAATGGACCAATGTGTTCCTCTTAGACCGAATTTTACCAGTAAATATCCACCCTGGTTCAACAGGGATATCAGAAACGAGATCAAACTTAAAGATAAATTATTCAAAAGATTAAAATTAAACTATTAAGAAACTTTACGTGATCAATTTAGTAATCTTCGTAGGTTAATAAAAACCCAGATATTACAAGCCTACAAGGAGTACAAACAGAAAGCAGAAAATTTGATCAGAACTGATCCCTCCTCATTTTGGACCTATATGCATAGTAAAATAGACACTTCAAGAATTCCGAATGTTTTATTCTTAAATGATAGAGAACTGAAAAACCCTACTTCAATAGTGAATGTATGTATTTGCTGAATTCTTTGAAAGTGTGCATGTTCCTTCTGATAGTAGTAATAATAATAACCCCTCAAGAAAAACAACAAATTTTCCCACAATATCAATAAATGCATTCTCCAAAGAAGAGATTTTGCAAACTCTCAGAAAATTGAAACCAAAATTCACAGCGGGAGATGACAAAATTCCGAGCTTTCTTGTAAAAGACTGTGCATACATTTTTGCAAAGCCACTTCAATTAATTTTTAACATGGCCTTAAAAACTGCGAGTTTTCCCGATAGATGGAAAGTATCTAAAATATGTCCAATACTGAAATCAGGGGCTCCAAATAACATTCTGAACATTCCGAAAGTGAAAAATAGTATAACTATAACAGCATGGTTTCATCAATAAACATTCAAAAATAACTAATCTAATGTGTTTTACACAAACGGTCAGCACCGCGTTAGATAAACAGCTACAGGTGGATACAATCTATACATACTTCTCAAAGGCCTTTGATAAATTGAACCATCAAATTCTACTGAATAAACTTTTTTCTGTTGGTTTCGATAGTCAACTGTTGAATTTACTACAGTCTTATCTTCAGAATCATACGCTATTTGTAGAATACAAAGGACACAAATCTAAAGTATTCACTTCAATTAGTGGTGCTCCTCAAGGAAGTAATCTAGCTCCTCTTCCTATTTTCTTTGTTTATAAATGATATTGTTTCAAATATATCTAGTAACATATTACTCTTTGCTGATGGCTTGAAAATTTTCAGACCCATTGAATCAACCGAGGACTGTCTTATTCTGCAAAAGGAAGTTAATTCGATACATGAATGGTGCATACTAAACAAGCGATAAGAAACTTAGCTTCACGTCACAAATTAACCAAATCACATCTTCTGCAAAAAAATGCGCCTTATCTTCAGGACGTGTAGAGACTTTCAAAACGAAGAATGTTTTATAACACTTTTTAATGCATATGTCCGATCTCGTCTGGAATATGGCTCCCTAATCTGGTCACCTATATACAATGTGCATATACAGCAACTCGAATCTTGTCAAAGAATCTTTATGAAATACATGGCTTACAAAATGGATGGAGCTTACCCATCCCAAGGAATTGATAATAGAGTGTTACTGAATAGATTTGCCCTCTTATCCTTAGAAAACAGAAGAACATATTATGCCTGTATCTTCATATATAAATTTATTCATAATCTAATTGACTGCCCTGATTTGTTATCTTAACTAGATTTTCACGTACCGAGACGAAGTAGTTGAAACGAATTTTTTTTCTATTTGCCTTTGCCTAGGATCAACGTGTTAATAAAATCTCCAGTTTATAACATCTGTAAAATTTATAATAGTTTCTATTCAGAATGTGATATTTTTGCTGTTCCATTTGGACGCTTCAAGTATATAATTCATAACAAGCTATTTTCTATGCAAGTCGAACTAGAATCTAATTTCAACCCATAAGTATCAACTCTCTGCACACTGCCAATTCTATTAGAATTCTTCAGTTTCTTTTTTTATTATTAAATGAATGTATCACTGTTTGTATAATATACCTCTATTACTCTGCTGATTTTATATGCTATTCGTTATATTCCATTGTACTCATACTTAGTCATAGCTGTGAACTTAATCATATTTGTCTTGTAATTGGGATTACTCCTGTTAGACAATAAACCTTTTTTTTTAATTACACGAAAGAACAATTCTTTCGAAACAAAGACTTTCATATGAACACTGAATTATACAGAAGACACTTTTCTCTACTCCTTTCTTTGGAAGGTTCCCACATTGTTTTGTATCAAGATGGAGTAGTAAAAAGCCAAAAACTTTCTTTCCCAAAAAATAGTCACTCCTAAAAATATAACACTTTCAATTTAAACAAGATTCCTCTTGGCTGGGATTTAATCAAATAGGTGAATAAATGTCATTACGATGTCATTGATGACATTAGATCAAACTTATTCCGTGACATAAAAATAGTAATTCATGAATGGATTGTGTATTTTTTCTTAGAACGTTATCCAGAATGGTACTGAAGAGCCCCAACGCAAGTGTCTTACGGGCGAAACATCGATGT